AAACCAACACAAGTACGGGGAAAAACTTATTATCCAAGTTAGAGTAAAGTCCAATATAAAAAACAAACTTCCAAGGTTGGTTCGTCTGCTTACAAATAAAACTCACAGTTAACTTTAAGTTGCAGCAGTGGCGGCGGCTTCTAGCTTCGCCGAAGCGAAGGCGTCCTGGATCGCGGAGAATCCTCGGGGCTCCGGAGGAATTCTCACCTACATCATCCATATAGGACGACTCGGGAACTCAACTCCTACCCCGGGCAGCTCACCTATCCCCTTATGCCCAGGGGAAAGGTATCAAGCCATTTGACAGCTGATGCTAGCTGTCAAACCGGCTTTTACGCGAAACAGGCGGGAGGCAGCAAACAGCTGCGACCGACGAAGACGCCTGCCACCGGAAGTCCTCTAAATGCTCCTTTTGAATGGCAGTTCTGCCTTAGCAAATTTGCTCTCATCCACAACATGATCGTAAACGTATGGGCAGATCTACCAAGAGGTTTGAATTTTTTGAAGTTAGTGATGATAATAATTTTAGAATACATTTTATGACAATTTTGTTCATAATATAAACAAGTGTAATTTTTTTTCTTTTGTTCCTGGCAACGTCCCAGAAATGTTTATTATTTATTGAAGATATTTCCATTTATATATTGCTTCTACTTTTCATATGGAAAATAGTTCCAACATTATTCTCTAAATATGTAACTTCTTCTGTAAGAAAACACTCATAAAATAATATTTTCCAGCACACTTTGCTAGATACAATTGTTTGTTCAAATTTCATATGTCCACAGAGGTTGCATGTGGACTAGCAGCTTAAAACAAGTTGGTTTATTTATACATTTTTTTATCTTTCAGGCACAATTTTCAGAGGTCAGTTTGATAGCTCATGCTGATGGGAATTATTCTGTAAATGTGCAAGCTTTTCGAAATGGCACTAAAGTTGTCAAGTAAGTTATTTTACTTTTTTGACTTTCAGAATTAAGGTTAGCATAAATACGGTAAATACAAAACATGATCATGAATAACATTCTTTATTAGAAATAGGATTTGTTCAGGGTGCATCCTCATTTTACAGCCAAGGTACATCCAGTTCAATGGATGATGTAATTAAGATGTTTATTCATCTTCTTGATAAATTCATAAGTAGCAGACAGTGAAAACCGCTCAGTATCTAAGATAAAATATCCGAAGAGCATCTCATTTTGTTCTAATTTATGGGAGGTTTAGGCTAACAGATTTATCTACTGTATAGTATATGATCATCCAAGAACTGGCACAACTTGATGGCACAAAACCAATCAATCAGTTAAAGAGTTATTGGTTTTCTCTTCGATGAGCACTAATAGGTCATTGAAGGCCTATTTGAACAGAAGTAGATGTGATATGTGAAACAAAGAGTGATAAAGCAGAAGGACTGAAACATAAAGCAGTTCTAAATTAGTATCCAGTGTTAAAAAAAAATTCAGATATCACAGATGGCAAAAAATTCAGTGTTAATATCTAAGGAGAGAAAATTAGGAAGAGAATAAGCTTTACAACAAACAGGCCTTTAAATTATGACTTTAACTTCACTCTCTATCATTGCATCTTCATTTTTGTTTTACCCTCAGCTAGGGATAAAATTTATCAGTTGCTGGTTTAGTTTTGTTCCATTAGAAGGATAGGTATGTGTTTGCATAGATTAGTGTATCAAAACATTCTGATTTGGATAACCCTCTAATCACCTATAAAATGATAGCCTTCAAAAAAAATGTCTGCATTCCTCTTTTTCAACCAGTATAATGACATTCCTTTCTTTACCAATCTCTATCATCACCAACATAACCAATAACAACAGATGAAGTTCAATAATTGTTTGCTTTCTCTTAGCCTTTTTTCCTTTTCTTTGAGAGGAATTTTTCATTGTACTGAAGTTTATGGCCTCAACAAAATTCAAACATATAGAAAGACACTAATCATCACAACAGAAATTCTAAGAGCCCCCTATTTGGACATTATTCCAGAACCATAAACCTCTACATGCCCTTTGGAATATAGTTCTGTTGGAATATAGTTCTAGTATAGGGGTGTCAAACTGCCGGCCCGCGAGCTAGTTGCATCATACGGAGGCCGTACCCAACCCAGCTCCGGCAATGAAAAAAAGCCGCGATACATTGCGACATGGCATGTGACGTGGCAAGCTTGACACCCGTGTTCTAGTCATAATAACAACTCTTGTCATTTTTTTCCTCTCTGACTCTAACTAAAATCTTGGAGAGATCCTTCAAGGATTCTCAAACTTGCCAATCCATTTTTAATTTATTCCTGGAATAAGAGTTCTATCTTTACAACATCTTAAACATGTTAAGAATACTTTTTGGTAATAACATTCCTATTTTCTTCCAGACCAGAGTCGTACCTACGCAATGGCTTTCATATTACACTATTATGACAACTACAGTACCCTTACCACCCATATCTAATATTTGCACAATATTGGAGGTATCTCCTACACATAGTTCTGTCCCACTTTGAATTATGAAACTAATTTGAAGGCAAACCATTTCCAAAATCTTGTCTAGAAAAATATAAGGACTTGTCTAGGCTGTAATCAGGAGTCAACACTGACTTGAAGATGCATAGACACAAACAAAAAGGTTTCAGTTTAATGTTTTTTCCTCTAGATGTAATTTAAATCAGCCTGTTCTAATTCAGTAGCTCCCATAGCTCTAGTAAGTTTCTAATATATTTGTTTGCTTGCTGTTAAACTCAATTCTCTTTAGGTCATTCAAGCCTGACTTTGTTCTTGTCCGGCAACACTCATTCAGCATGGCTGAAAACGAAGATTTTCGTAACTTAATTATTGGAATGCATTATGCAAGCATCCCAAGTGTTAACTCTCTAGAGTCAATCTACAACTTCTGTGACAAGCCCTGGGTAGTAAGTAACAAATTCTAATTTAATAATAATATATTTCATTGTATACTTGAAGAATAACATTTAAATGCCGAATTGGGGAGGGGAAAGGAAAATGAGTAGCATTTAGCCCAATGTCTGTCCCTGTACACATGCAAAACTTTATTAAAACATTTATATTTGGATTATGTCTCAAAGTCTTACATAACATAAATATATTCCTTGATGCTTTTTAATTACTATGAATATTTAATGCTTAATACTTAAATATTTAATATTCATAATCTTTGCCTCATTTCCTTGTGGCTTTTTTATCACTAAGGTTCTCAAAATTTTGCAGATAAAAGAATTGTAATCAGTCTTGTACAAAGTTAGTAAAGTAACTATTATTAGTAAAAAGTGTCTATTCAAAGGTTAGGATGAAATAACAGTGGGTAAGAGAGCTGAACAAAAGTACCTAAAAATGGTAATACTGCCTAGCTAGAATGCACTTCTCACATTTCAATATTTTTTTTCATTTTGGATGATAATAGTATAAACACAAATATGAGCATCTGTGTAAAAAACTTTATGTACAGTAATTGTGACTCATCTCTCCATTGCTTTTCCTTGCAGTCTCTGTTTGTATGTTGCAATGCAAATAAAATCACTTCTGCATGTAGAAAACTACCGTATTTTCCGGCGTATAAGATGACTTTCTAAACCCTGAAAATCTTCTCAAAAGTTGGGGGTCGTCTTATACGCCCAGTCGTCTTATACGCCGGAAAATATGGGTATTCTATTTTATTCCTTTATATAAGCTGAGTACGCGATGGGGGCAGCAGCCGGGAGCTGCTGCCTCCCGTCCTGCTCCCCCTCCCTGGATGCGATGGGGGCAGCGGCCGGGAGCTGTTGCCTCCCATCCTGCTCCCCCTCCCCACCCATTCAGCTGAGGATGCGATGGGGGCGGCTGCCGGGAGCGCTGCTCCCGTCCTGCTCTCCCTCCCCACCCATTCGGCTGAGAACGCGGCGGCCAGGCTGGGGGCGGCGTGGACTCCTGACGATGCTGCAGTGGCTGCTGCCGTGCTGCCGCCGCCGCCACTGCAGCTACTGCCTCCCGTCCTGCTCCCCCTCCCTGCCCGTTCGGCGCCGTCTGCCTTTCATTCTCTCTCTCTCTCTCTCTCTCCTAACCTGGAGGGAGAGGGAGAGAGAGAAAGAGAGAAAGAGGAAAGACAGTGAAGAGAAAGAGGAAAGAGAAAGAGAAGAGAGAAAGAGAAAGAGGAAAGAGAAAGAGAGAAAGAGGAAAGAGAGAGAGGAAAGAGAAAGAGGAAAGAAAGAGAAGAGAAAGAGAGGAAAGAGAGAGAAAGTTAGAGGAAAGAGAAAGGAAGAGAAAGAGACAGAGAAAGAGAGAGGAAAGAGAGAGAGAAAGTTAGAGGAAAGAGAGAAAGAGAAGAGAGAGGAAAGAGAGAAAGAGGAAAGAGAGAGAAAGAGGAGAGAGAGGAAAGAGGAAAGAGAGAGGAAGGAGAAAGAGATAAAGAGGGAGAGGAAAGAGAGAGGGGGAGAGGAAAGAGAAAAAGAGAGGAAAGGGAGAGAAGGAGAGGAGAGAGAGAGAGAAAGAGAGGAAAGAGAGAAAGAAAGAGGGGGAGAGGAAAGAGAGAAAATGAGGAAAGAGAAAAAAGATTGAGAAAAGAGAGAGGAAAGAGAGAAAGGAAAGAGAAGAGAAAGAGAGGAAAGAGAAAGAGAGGAAAGAGAAAGAGAGAAAAGAGAAAGAGGAAAGAGAGAGGAAAGAAAGAGAGAGAAAGTTAGAGGAAAGAGAGAAAGAGGAAAGAGAAAGAAAGAGAGAGAGGAAAGAAAGGAAAGAGAGAGAGAGGAAAGAGAGACAGAGAGAGAGAGAGAGCCTTTTGACATCTAAAATGAAGATAACACTGCATATATCCTTTTTTACCTTTATTTTATATATACACACACAAACATACACACACACACACACACATCATAAAGGTAAAAAAAGGATATATGCAGACTTATCTTCATTTTAGATATCAAAAGGGTTTTGCGGCTCCCAGTGTTTTGTTTTCGGTGGGAAACGTGTCCAAGTGGCTCTTTGAGTGTTTTGGGTTGCCTACCCCTGATATAGCCCAAACTTTATATTTTAACTGGAAAAGTTGGGGGTCGTCTTATACGCCGGAAAATATGGTAATGTGAGATTATAATTTTTGCCTGCTGGTATTCAAGACAAAACCAGCCAGTTCTCTACCTTAAGATGTTTAATGTGTTATTCCTGCAATTGTTAAACAGACTGCAGGCATTTGCAATAACTTTGTACATTTTATCTTTTAAAATCAAAATGCTTTTATCTTTCACCCAATCCTTTGCATAAGAAACTGGTTTTCCAATTTTTAGAGTAAAAAGAAGCTAAAGTTATAAAATATTCTAACATGACAGATTAAAATTATGATTTTAAAAATTTAAAATTAACAAGAGATACTTGTTAAGCCTGAATGACAATTATATCCAAAGGCTCACTCTATCCCCATTTTTTTTATTTTACTTCTGAGCAATTGTCTCACCCAAAAGCCTATTAAGCGTGTTCATTATAAATTCCAGACTTGGGACCATTTTAAGGATTTTCTGCAACTGCTCTGTCAGCCAAGAAGCGTTACTTGAGGCAAGAGCCAAAGTGGAAACAAATTCCTTAGTTCTCAAAGTGGGCTCTTATCCAAGCCTTCTTCTGTGCTGCCCC